GCCCTGTCTCTTGGGCAGTGCTTTCATAATGAAGAAAAACATTTTCCATATGTGTGTGTGTGTGTGTGTGTGTTGTGTATATATCTTAAACAGAGGAAGAAGATATATTAGATAAATTGATTGTGGCAAAGGAAGATGTTCAGACCAAGCAGGGGAATTTCATTTCCCTCTGGATATTAAAGATGTTATCTGGCAGGCCTGTGGCTGCCAGGCAATCATGAGTGGGTGATTCAGGAAGAAGCACACTATCTTCAGCTGCATCTGCAGACCAATTTTGCAAATGCAATAAAGCCCCAGCAGCCTGTGCTGCTGTGTCCCTTCCACAACCCAGCCCAAGAGAGAGGCATTGAGCAGACACCTCCCATCCCTGCCCCAATCCTGCTCAGGACAAGAGAGCCTCATCTGCAGGCTCCCGAGAGAGGTGACAGAGAAGTGTCACACCTGTGGGATGATGGGCTTGCTTCTGTGACTAACTTCTAAAGTACCTGACACTAAAAACACTTTCTTGGGTAATAGGGTCGGAGAGAGAATATATCTGGTAGGGCACTTGTATTTCATAATCCCCAGCACCACATACGGTCCCCCAAGCCTGCCAAGAGTGATCCCTTAATGCAGAGTCAGGGATAAGCCTGAGCACAGCTGGATGTGGAAAAGAAATTCTGTTTTTTTGGGGGGAGGGTCACACCTGGCTCTGCACAGGTCTTACTCCTGGCTCTCCACTCAGGAATTACACCTGGCGGTGCTCAGGGGACCATATGGGATGCTGGGAATTGAACTTGGGCCGGCCACATGCAAGGCAAACGCCCTACCTGCTGTGTTATTGCTCCAGTCCCGGGGAAAAAAATTCTTGATATTATTTTTAAAAAATTGTTCTATGGGGGGCTAGAGCAATAGCACAGCGGGTAGGGCGTTTGCCTTGCACACGGCCGACCCGGGTTCAATTCCCAGCATCCCATATGGTCCCCTGAGCACCGCCAAAGGTAGTTCCTGAGCGCAGAGCCAGGAGTAACCCCTGTGCATCACCAGGTGTGACCCAAAAAGCAAAAAAAAAATAAAAATAAAAAAAATTATTCTATGGGCTGGAGAGATACAGTGCATAGGGTGCTTGCCTTGCACGTGGCCACCTTGGATCCCATCCCCAGCATCTCTATGGTCTCCAGAGCACCACCAGAAGCAATTCCTGAATGCAGAACCAGAAGTAACTCCTAAACATAGCTGGATGTGACCAAAAAATAAAGAAACAAAATTGTTCTGAGGATAGAGAGAGATAGTAAAGCGGGTAAAGCACTTGCTTTATATGGTCTCCTGAGCCCAGACGATCTGACCCCTTAGTAGAGAGCCAGGAGTAAGCCTTGACCACAGGTGGGTGTAGCCAAAAACAATACAAAAAGCACACTGCTCTTTTTGGAAGGTTGGAGAGAGTGTACACTCGCCCCAGGAGTGACCCCTGAACAAAGAGCTGAGAGTAAGCGCTGAGCGTCACTGGGAGTGGCACCAAAACAAAACAAAAAATTGCTCTTGTTGGGCTGGGGATGTGACTCATACCTTGCATGCTTGAGTCATGGATTCAGCAGCACCCAACTAACACAATAGATCTTAATTGTTGTTATGATTTAGTGGTTACAAAAGAATATTTATAGGGCTGGAGCTATAGTACAGCGGGTAGGGCGTTTGCCTTGCACATGGCCAACCCTGGTTTGATTCCCAGTATCCCATATGGTCCCCCGAGCACCACCAGGGGTGATTCCTGAGTGCTGAGCCAGGAGTGACCCCTGAGCATTGCTGGGTGTAACCCAAAAAGAAAAACAAAAACAAAAACAAAAACAAATGAATGTTTATAGCACATGGATAAAGATTAAGAATACATCAGTAGAGGGCTGGAGAGATAAAACAGTGGGTAAGGTATTTGTCTTGCATGCTGTTGACCTGGATTAAATCTCCAGCACCCCAAATGATCCCCCAAGCCTGCCAGGAGTGATCCTTGAGTGCAGTGCCAGGAGTAAGCCAAACAAACACTGCAGGATGTGCACCTCCTGCAAAAAAAAATAATACATTCATAGGACTGGAGAGAAAGTCTACATGCAAGAGATCTGCATTTGATCCAGCATCACATGGTCATCTGAGCACCTCCAGAAGCAATACCCAGCCACAGAGCTGGGAGTAGCCCCTCATTGCCAGATGATGCCAAATCTCCCTATACCCCAGATACAATTATAATGGACCAAGGAAATAGTTTGAAGGACTGGAGCACATGTAGGAGACCCAAGTTGGATTTTTGGCACTACCAGGAGTGGCCCAGGAGCACCAAGCTGGGTGTGATCTAAAACCAAACAAACAAACAAACAAACAAAAATATGGGGCCAGGGAGATGCATCCCTCCACCATCCCAAAAAATGTATTTATCATCTTTTCACCCACATGCTGAGCTATGAAAGAAGGCATCTCCTTACCTGTGAACAATCCTGCGAGTCTGACCCCTCTCACCCACTCCATTCTCAGAGCTGTTCCATCCTCTGAATATTATATATATTATTCCCTTTTCTATAAAATTTGATGTTTTAATTCCTAGAGAAAATACCTAGTTTTGCATATTTGTGATTTTTTTTTTGGTAAAAAAACATTTCCCCAAGATCAGATTTTTCACTCAGCCTTCCATTTCAACCCTTTGTCTGAATCTCTCCAAATATATTAACTTTTGATTGACATAAGGATTATTTTTATTTTTCTAATTATCACGGTATTGTTAAAAGTTTTTTTGGGGGGTGGTGGTGCAGAGAGACAGTATGGAGGGGGAGGTTACTTGCCTTGCACGAAGCTGACCTAGGCTAATCTTGGTACCCCTGAACTTGATAAAAAAAAAAAATACTTGGTCCTCTGAACCTGCCGGACTGTCCCTGAGCTCAAATCTAGGAATAAAGCCCTGGGCACAGTTGGGTGTGTCCACCAAACAAACAAAAAAACCCACACTAGTAGATTTTTGGTGGGATGGTGGTGTTGGACCACTTGATCAATGCTCAGGGGTCCTCAAGTCTAGACCCAGGTCATTGGCATGCAAGCATCTACCCTGTACTATCTAGGCAACCAGAATCAGTTTTTGGTGTTGGCTTGGCCACAGCTCTCTGCTGGCCTGAGGAAAACTAAGGCTTTCAGAGCTAGGCTTCTTCACAGGAAGCACCAAAGGCAGCCCAAATGGAAATGAGCAGGAAGCTATCCACAAAGAGGGGCTTTCAGAGGGTAGGTTGGGCCGTGCAGGGGAGCACGAAGGGGAGGACTGGGGCAGTGGTAGAGGGCAGCGACTCTGGTGATGAGTGCAGTACTGGAATGTGTTGTGGATGGGACCCTAGCATTTTGTTTTTGTTTTGGGGCCACATGAGGTGGTGTTCAGGGCTTAGTCCTGGCTCTGCACAGGCGGGCTGGGGGTACATACGGGGGGGGGGGGGTTGGGATTGATCCTGGGTCAGTTATGTGCAAGGCAAGTGACCTACCCACTGTACTATCTCTTCAGTGTCTGAAACCCTACTATTACCAGTCTTGTAAACACCATGGTGCCTAAAATAAGTTTTTTTTAAATAAAATAAACTTAAAAGATAATTTTAAAGCCTATTTTAGTAATTGCCTAAATTTTTACCCAGTGGTGTTCAGGGTTTATGCTCCTGTGCTCAGGGGTCTCTCCTTGGCAGTTCTGTGGTGTTGGGGTCCAACATGGGGCTCCTACACACACAGCATGTGGTCCAGCTCTTTGCATCATCTCCCCAGTTCCTGATATTCATCCTTTGTCAGTCCAACAAATCCTCTGGTAAGCATAAATAAATCTCTAGCTAAACGTTAGCCCTGATGGCACAGAAAATGGGCATGGACTACAGAATGATGAATCAGCCAAGGAAATCTTTAGGATTACAAGTTCCTACTTCCCTTACAGCTCTCCCTGGATCTGTAAACCCAAGAAATGCTCCCTGGAGATGATTTTTCAAGGGCTAGGGAGGGAAGGTCAAGGCTGTCACTGTCACTGTCACTGTCCTCCCATTGTTCATCGATTTGCTCCAGCGGGCCCAGTAATGTCTCCATTGTGACACTTGTTACTGTGTTTGGCATATCAATACCTCACGGGTAGCTTGCCAGGCTTTGCCTTGCTGGCGAGATACTCTGGGTAGCTTGCTGGGCTCTCCGAGAGGGGCGGAGGAATCCAAGGCTTGCTTTATTACTCGAAGAAGGTCACAAGGGGGTAAAGAGTGTGGAGTTGTCAGATTTTGATGACACTCAGATTCTGATGACCCCATGCAACGAACTCGAGACTGCCGCGTGGCAGCTGCGCGGAGGAGGCAGCGGTGTCTTCTGTCCCAGGTGTCGCCTCTGCCCTGAGAGGAGGGGGCTGGGGGACACAGTGTGGGCGAGATACCGGTTAGCGCAAGTCGCTGCAGGCCGGACACGTGCAAGAGCACTGGATTCCTCTACAGATAAACCCACGGGCACGCCACGTGTCGCGCTGTATGGCGCGAATCCCAGTCGGGGAGTGCGGGGGAATGCGCCCCGCACCCGAGGTGGGATTTCAGCCTGAGCCAGGTGCCTCTGCCCGTGTCGCACGCGCTGAGCAATCTCTGGAGGATGCGTCTTGGGAACTGCGGCGGGGGGATTCGCTACAAGCCTACAAGCTTTGCCTGGATGGGGTGGTCTGGAACTGGGCGGCCTCCGCGGGGCCACATTTTGCTCTCTGCCGTTTCACTCGGACAACGGCTGGGGACCAGCGGGACTTTGGAACCTGTTACTGGAGGTGACGCAGTGACAAGGTGCAAGGTCACCACGCGTGCTAGGCGCCGCGCCCGCCGCCCGAGCCACCAGCGGAGCGCTCCGGGCCCAAGTCCCACGTGCGGGAGCGGCTCCCTCCCAACCCCACCCCACCCCACCCACCCTCGACCGGACCACCCGCGACGGCAGGGGGCGGGTCCCGCTAGACGAGTTCCGGGGCGCGTCACAGAGCCCGCTCTTGATTGGCCGGCCGCGCGGTCACCGGCGTTGATATCGCTCGAGGCCGGAGCCCGAGCAGCGGGAGTGGACGCAGAGGGTGGGCACGGAGTACAGGGCCGCGGCCGGGAGCCTGGCCAGGTCGCACGCACCATGCCCTACCTGCTCATCAGTGCCCGGAACCGCATGGTGAGTACCGCGGCTCCAGCTGCTGCTCTGGGGGCCTCCGGGGGCGCCCGGACACGCCTCCTCGGGCGGGCACCGCGCGCCAGGCTGGAGGTCGCGCTCCGCTGCCGGGGTCCGGGGACCTGACGAGCTGGGGCCGATCTCCGAGCCTCCAGGGCCGCGAAAAGGGCCAGGCGCGGGTGTCCTTTGCGGCTCCTGTGGTCCCCGCCCTGGCCGCGGGAATTCGAGTCTCGGGGACCCGAAAAACCCGACCTCACATATGCAACACCCACCTTGCAGCACACTGAGAAGCTCCGGAGTAAACAGAAGGGGAAAGTGGGGGGGAAAGGGAAAGGCTTGGAAAAGGCGTGCTCAGGTGCTGAAAACCAGCGCCCAGTCACTGGCTGCACAAGTAAGCGCTTTCACGAGCTCTAGGACACGAGAAAACAGAAACGCCTGAAGAAAGGAAGAACGCGGAAATAGCGAGAGAACTCCAGCCAGGGGTCAGAAGGTCCGGATAAGCTCAGCGCTAGAGAGCTTGCCCGGAGTGTGCTCACTCCCCTTTACTGCAAAAAGAAACAAAAACGTCGTGTCGGGGCTGGAGCAATAGCACAGCGGGCAGGGCGTTTGCCTTGCACTCAGCCGACCCAGGTTCGATTCCTAGCATCCCATATGGTCCCCCGAGCACCACCAGGAGTGATTCCTGAGTGCATGAACCAGGAGTAACTCCTGTGCGTTGCCGGGTGTGACCCAAAAAAAGCAAAAACAAAGCAAAACAAACCGTCATGTCCCTTTCTCTCCATCTGTCCAGAGATGGTGCAATTAGAGGCGGGAGAGATAATACAGCAGATAAGGCATTGCCTTGCAGGTGGCCTGGGTTTGATTCCCTCTCACCCCATATGATTCCCCCAAAATCCCTATAGGTGTGACCACTGAGAGCAGAGCAAGGAATAAGCCCTGAGAACCACTGGGTGTGGCCCCCAAATAAGCAGAGAGACAGAGACAGAGACAGACAGAACAGACACACACACACACACAGAGGGAGAGGGAGAGGGAGGGGGGGAGAGGGGGAGAGGGGGAGAGGGAGAGAGAGAGAGAGAGAGAGAGAGAGTCTTCCAGCCCCCTGTTAGCTTCAGTTTGAGGGGGAGAGGGGGAGAGGGAGAGAGGAGGAGAGGGGGAGAGGGAGAGAGAGAGAGAGAGAGAGAGTCCTCCAGCCCCCAGTTTGATGTGAATGGGCCAGAGAGATAGTACAGGGAGTGAAGGAACTTCCTTGCACACATCACATATGGTCCTCAGCACCACATACGGTCCCTGGAGCACCTCCAGGAGCAGAGCAAAAGTAAGTCCTGAGCATCCCAGGGTGTGGCGGGAAAAAAAAGTAAAAAAAAAACCCATGGATGAAATGAAGTGACTGGCTCCCTGTCCTGCTCCTCTGCCCCTTCCCACCTCCTACCCAGCCCCCAACTCCTTTGGATGGGGATGGGGGGGTGGAGGTAGGGGTGGTGTGGCACATTCTGTGACAATGAGGTCTTAGCAGTGCCCTAGGGCATCAGTTTAAGGGCCAGCCACCTGAGCAGTACTTAAAATGGGGGCCCTGGGGGTCTCTTTCCAGACTCCTGACATACTTTCTAAACCTGGAGCTTAGGAATTCTGTGATTCTCCATCCTGCTTTTAAATATAAGAGCCTCCTTGTGTGTAACTCATACATTTTTTAAATCAATCGAAAAATACAACTAAATGGGATTTATTGTGACAATTCAGAATTCTGCAATCAGTATTAGATTTCCATTCCCTTAAAAGATATAGTGTTCCAAGAATAGCCGAGATAAGTACCAGGAGGTTTAGTCCATGGCTTGGAGGCCAGCTGCACATGCTAGGGGAAAAGGCAGCTCAGATAGAGAAGGGAGCACCAAATAAAGGGTGTTGGGAGGATTCTCCCAGGATGGGAGATGCATGCTGAAAGTAGGCTATAGACCGAACATGATTGCCACTCAATGCCTCTTTTGCAAACCACAACACCCAAAAGGAGAGAGAGAACAAAAGGGAATGCCCTGCCACAGAGGCAGGGTGGGATGGGGGGGTGGGGGGTGGAAGGGATACTGGGATCAGTGATGGTGGAGAATGGGCACTGGTGGAGGGATGGGTATTTGATCATTGTATAATTGAAACCCAAGCACAAAAATTTGTAAGTCTACAACTATACCTCATGGTGTTTCAGTAATAAAAATTAAAAAGAAAAAAAAAGACACCTGGAACCTGAGAGGCCCCTCCCTCCCCTCCATGACCCCAGACATCTACTTCTGGTGGAAATATCCACCAGAACATTGGTGGGGGGGAGGAGTTTCTCTCACATATGTAACATTTTCACATCCAGCCACAGTGCAGCTCAGGTCAGCACATCATTCCTCTGTGCCACCAAGTCAGATTCCATCATAGGGCTATGGCGTAGGTCCCTCAGATGACAGACTTGTAGGTTGTGTCCACTTGCTGGTCATAATGAGAAATATTCAAACATAGGTTTCCACAGTTCTCCTCCAGGTGTTTCTGATATACGAAAAGTTGGTGTTTGGCAGAAAAGGAATGGTTTGTGGATAGATGGAGGTGGGAGGGAGCCTCCAGAGGGGTCTGATGGACTCTGCCTGCCAAGGCCTTTGAGGGAAGCTAAGGGCTGGTGGCTGGAGAGATGGACCTGGTCAGCTTCCACCTCTGCGTGGTGCTGTCTGCAGCCTCTGTGGCTTTTACCTTGCAGGAGGTGGGTCCTACCACAGTGGGTGATGAATACTCGGATCAAGAACTGATGCATTATCTTGGGGCCTCAAAGAGAAACGTCCCGGGAAACAATTTGTAAGTATTTAGAAGCTTTCCTACCAATCTTCTCCCAGCAGCTCTGTGACCTGTCCCTGCTCCTGTCAGGCCCAGGGACAGTGTCACTGCCCAAACTCGAGCCCTTCTACCTGCATTCCAGGGCTCTGTTCTCTAGAAATCCGGGGGTCTTATGGGCAGCCCCTGACCCCCACTCTCGCTTACTCTGAAAACTTTTCCCTACCCTCCTTTGCACAGCCTCTTAAGTGGGCTGTTCTTTTTATTTTTTTCTTTTTGGGTCACACCCAGCAATGCTCAGGGGTTCCTCCTGGCTCTGCACTCAGAAATTACTCCTGGCGGTGCTCAGGGGACCATACGGGATGCTGGGGATCGAACCTGGGTTGGCCATGTGCAACGCAAATGCCCTACCTGCTGTGCTATTGCGCCAGCCCTAAGTGGGCTATTCTTTCATCTGTGTAGTTCTTTGGTTTGGGGGCCACACCTAGTGGTGCTCAGGGATCACTCTGGGCAGTGCTTAGGGAACCAAACGGTGCTGGGGATTCAAACCTGGTTCAGCCATTGTGAGGCAAGCACCTTCACCCCTGTGCTATCTCTCTGGCCCATCTTTCACCTTAAAGCAACACCCTAGCTTGGTGCAGGCAGTGCGGGCAGCTTGGGTCCCAGGAGGAGGAGGAACTTGGCCACAAAGACCAGCAACTCCTAAGAGGGGGTACCAGGGAGCCTAGTTTCAAAGGGGAGTGAGCTGGCAAGTATCATAACATGCCAAGCTTGGTGCTTTTGAGCCCTTCACCCCATTACTGGCCCTCCCGAACCCTAAAGCAGGGCACCATGCTGGGAGGTAACAGAGTCAGCGCCAGGCTGCAGGCTAGAGGTGGCTGGGGAGGAGCCAGCTGCCAGCCTCAGATCCCCTGTGGGCTCCCACTAGGGGTCTAAGCTTGGGAAAGGTGCTGAACTCCAGGCCTGCGCCTTATAAACAAGGATACTCTGGCGCCCTCCTCAGGTTGCTGGGAGGCGCAGCTCGGGCAGGAGGGCCTAAGGGGTGCCAAGTCCTACACTCTTCAGGACTGGATGCAGTTTGCGCCTAGGCACTGCACCCGGGGCCTCTCTGGGGGCAGAGGTGAGCTCTGCGGGAGTTTGTGGGGGCCACTGCTCACCTGGGTCTTCTTGTTCCCCTTCTCTTCACAGTAGCGAGTACTACGTCAATGACCCGCCTCGCACAGTCCTGAACAAACTGGAAAACAGGGGCTTCCGGCTGCTGAGCATGACGGGGGTGGGCCAGACGCTGGTGTGGTGCATGCATAAAGAGTGACCCCTTCCACAGGAGCCGGCAGGCACCCCTTCTTTAGAGTGGTGATCCCGGGCCCCTTACCCCGAGCCCCTGACTCACAGCCCTCCACCTCTGCTCCCGGACCAGCGTTTTCCTCAACCTGGCATCACTGGGCACTGACTGACTGATCTCTGATACCAGTGGGGGAGCTCCCCACAGCACTCCTAGTGCCAGGTCTGGCCTGGGGGTCCTGGAGAAGCCATGTTTTGGGGCCAGGCTGAGGGCTGGCAAGAGCCAGGCTATACCTGGCCAGGAGCTGGGCCCTGAGGAACACGACTTAGGGTTGGGCGAATGGGCAGGCGGGTCCTGGGTGGCTGGTCCAAGCTAATAAAAGGCTGTGATGAGTGGTTGCACTCTGCTCGGCTGGCACCTGCCTCTCAGTCCATGGTGTGCCTCACCCTCCGGTGGGGGGGTCTGCCCACTCTCCACTCTCCCGGAAGGGAGGTCTGGATGGGGCCCACAGACTCAGGTCCCAGAAACCAGGGCCACCCTTGGGCAGGCCAGCACCCTACAACTCTGTCTGCAATAAGAGATCGACTCTTAAAAAACAAACAACAACAACAACAAAAAAAAAACACAAAGGTTTATTGGCAAAGTTGAAGCAAAGGGCTGAGGGCTGGGAGTGCACTAGGTGAGCTGCCCCGCCTCATCCTCCTGCTGCATCTGGGCCATCAGTTGCTGCCGCTCAGCTGCCTGACGTAGGCGCATCATGACCAGGCTCTCGTAGTCCCTCTCAGACACCACTGAGCCCTGGAGACAGAGAGGGGGACAGGGCGGGGTTAGGATACTGCTCCCCAGATTTGGGGGCATGCAGCTGAGCGGTGCGGGGAAGAAAGCAGGGCGGAAAGGCCAGGATCAAGCAAGCCCGCCAGCCTCCCACTGCTGCTTCTGCCCGTCCCCACCCGTCCCCACTCAGCCCTCCCACCCGGGCCAGGCCCTCATTCCGGCATCAGCTTGGCTTCATCTTTCCTTCGTTAGTCACTTCCTCAAGCTCGGACCAGCCCTGTCTGCCTTCCGCTTAGCTGTCTCTGACACCCCTCCAGCTGCCCCTGCTGCTCCCTCCTCCTCACAGGCTTCCAGGGAGGGGAGGTTGTCAGGGGTGTAGCCCGGCCAGGGGGTGCGCCCCTCCCAGACACTGCCTCCTTCAACAGGGAGAGAAGCAGGAGGCTGGCTTCCCTCGTCAAACCCCCGACACCAGCGCTCCTGGAGGGCAGGGCCCGTGGCTTTTCCTTTATGATCTCGCCAGCAGGGCTGGGGATTAAAGAGCGCTGTATTGTAATAATCAAAAGAATAATAAACAGCCGCTCTGCGGCTGGCTGTCAGGGGGAGCCACCCGCCCCCACTTGATAAGGTCTTGTGGAACCAAGCCACCGCCCCCAAAGGGCTGGGGGAAGTGGAGCGCCCACCCAGGCAAGTCGTGTGGGCAGAGCAGGCTGCTGAACCCGTTCCTCAGGGTGTCCTGCTGGTGCACACCAGGGCAGAGTGGGGTGGCCAGTGACCCAGGGAGTGAGAGGGAGTGGTTGGGGTTAAATGCCAGGCCCTGCCAACTGGCTGAACTGAAGGGGTGCAGAGACCCAGGGTTTTGCCCAGACCCATGACTTGTTCCTCTCAGCCTGGCCCAGAGCACCAGGCACAGGTCTGGCAGCCCCATTGATGTGACCCTGCCCTGTCCCCCTCCCCCCCCCAAGGGATCCCTATGGAGGACCCGGGGAACTGGAGGGCTGGTGCAGAGATTGTTGGAAACAGCAGATGCCTGCCCTTCAACTGCTCCCTGCCCTGACACTGTATGGAAACCAGCCGTTGTAGGAGGCTGAGCAATGACCGCCCCCTCTTCCACCCCTCCCCCAGCCCCAAGGTAATGCTGCTGTGCCTGGAAAACCTGAGGTTATCCTCTGCATGCCCTGGGCCCAGCCCAGGAGGAGCCAGCCCTCTGCAGGCATGGGGCTGCCCCAGGCTCTACTAATGAGGGCCTGTCAACCGGCTGAGTCACCACCCCAACGACAGGTCTCTTCCTTCCCAATCAATTGCAGGCCTTCCAATTACCTCCCGCCCCCACCTCCCGCGCAGACACACGGCAGGCAGGAAGGTGGGGGGGAGGGGGGAGCGAATCGGAGCGGGGCACAGGCCCAGCGCAGCGAGTGACACACAAAGGCAGCCTCGCGCGGGGCAGGTCCCCAGAGGAATCTGAAGCTCCCAGTGCCCTGGGGTGTTGGCCGCAGCGGCCCCGATCCCGCACGCGGATGCTGCAATTACCTCAGCACGAAACCCGGCTTCCCACCTGACTGAGTCAGCTGGAAGCAACAGCGCAGCTGCACGCCACCCGCCGCCGCACACCGCGCGCGCCGCCAAGCCGGGAGCCGCGCTGGGCTGGGTGCGCCCCGACGGCACGGGCGCACGCCGGCGCTGCCCCCACTCGGCCCCGGTAAGTGCGGCTGCCTCCTCGGCGGGGAGTTTCTCCACTGTCCTCAGATAACCAGGCCACTCGGGCCGGTCGCCAGGGACGCTCCAGCTCTCGGCGCGGGACCCGCCGGCCGCGCCCTCCGAGATGCGGACCCCGGCTCGGCGCTGAGCCCGCGCCGCAGGGGTACCGGCTGCGCCGAACCTGGCTCCGGAGCGAGCGGACCCGGGCGCGGGCTCCCGGGGCGGGGCCCATGGAGACCTGGAGGAAGGGCTCCCTCCGCAACGCCTCCTTCTTCAAGCGGCTGAGCCTGGGCCGGCCGCGGCGCCTCCTGCGGCGCCAGGGCAGCGTGCTCAGCCAGGCCAGCACGGCCGGCGGGGACCACGAGGAGTACAGCAACCGCGAGGTCATCCGCGAGCTGCGGGGCCGCCCCGACGGCCGGCGCCTGCCGCTGTGGGGGGACGAGCAGCCCCGGGCCACGCTGCTGGCCCCGCCCAAGCCCCCTCGGCTCTACCGAGAGAGCACCAGCTGTCCCAACATCCTGGAGCCTCCGCCCGCCTACCCGGCGACCCTGCCCTCGGCCATCTCCCTGGCGGGCCCGCTGGACCAGTACTCGGAAGAGGACCTGCTGGACAGCCCCCCCTTCCCGAGGACACCCGCTCCGGACCTCAGTGACCCTTTCTTCTCCTTCAAAGTGGACCTGGGCATTTCTCTCCTTGAGGAAGTTCTGCAGCTGCTGAGGGAGCAATTTCCCAGCGAGCCCAGCTTCTGAATGGGGTGAGGGTGAACCCAGCTGGGGTGACTGGAAGAGCCTGGGGGACCAGGTGGAGGATGAAGGAAAAGGGTCGCGGTAGGAGAGCAGGGTTTCCTCCCACCGCCCCCCCCATGCTTGCAGGGCGAGCTGGGAGATTGAGGGGGCAAACATGGCCAAGATAGGGTCTGGCAGAGGGGTGGGCAGTTAGGAGGTGAGTCAGAATGGGAAGTAAAGCCAGATGCCCTGAAGTCACTGTCACAGGGAGAGGCTACAGGGCAGCTCTGGGCAGCAGTGGCCAGACAGCGAGATCTACAGGGAGAGGCTGAGAAAGATCCGACCCTGGCCCTTATGGTGGCACCAGTGACTGCACAGCGGCCAGCTAGAGTTCCAGCTTTACAAGCTGGAGGCCTGGGTCCAACCCCTGGAACCACTGGGAGCACAGGGCTGGGAGTAGCCAGGAGTAGCTGGGAGTGGCCTCAAAACCAAAACCAAAACCAAAAACAAAAAACAAAAAACCATACCAACCAAAAGTCCAGATTAAATTAACTGGAATGAAGTACAATGAAAAAAAAAATCTGTCTTTAGTCCCTCAAGCTCAATTTCTAGTGCTCAGAGGCTACTCATGCCTTATGACGCAGGGACTGTTGGCATGGTTGGAGGGAGGTTTCTTGGGTGTCAGTGGCATGGGTGAGGGGATGCATGCCCTGCAAAGGAGGCAGAGACACAGAGAGGGGCTCAGACTCCGCTGCCAACCCGGGGCTTCTGGAGCGTGAGCCTTAGGCACAGCCTTGCCTTGCACAGGGGGTGCTTTGTAAGCGACAGAGCCATTAGGAAAGGCAGCGAAACCATGGCTGACCCTCTCCGCACCCTGTGAACGAGAGAACTGGATCAGCGGGTAGACACGCAGCTCCAGGAAGCAGCAGCGCCGGTTCCAGAAGCCGCCTCCAGCCGGGAGCTCTCCTTGCCTGAACCCTGATGATGGGGCTGCCAACCGGGGCAGAGCCCACTGGGTCAAGGCCACAGGATGTGCCCCGCCCTGCCTGTGACCTGGACAGAAGTCTTGACACGTGGGCAGGGCAGGGCTGGGCAGGGCTAACGCCTCAAGCCCTTCCGAGTGTGGCTGAGGGGAACGAGAAGTTTCCACACCCGAGCCCTGCACCCCCTCTTCCCTCCTGTACGGGTGTGCCTACTGCAAGGGGACAGTGAATAAAGTGCTTTGTCAAGGCACCTGGGAAGTAAGTGCCTGGGCTGCAGAGGGCTGCGACTTGTTGGTGGCAAGTGAGGTCTACCCAGGGGCCTGGGCTGGGCACGGAATGGACCCTTCCCTGCCCCAGTTGGGAGTCTGGGTCACTTCCCGAGGGCGACTATCCTCTCAGGTGGCCAAGGCGCAGAGGGGCTGTGATAGAGAGACTGAGAACAAAGCCCTCTGGGCACAGCAGCTGGAGGCCCCTGACTGGCCCTGGCCATTGCAGAGAAGGTGGGCACTGCTCGGTCCCAGTGCTCTGTCCCACCCCAGTGGCGCAGGTGCGATTGGGAAAGCAGGGGTGCTGGAGCAAAGCGTCCGTGGAGTTGGGCACCCAAAGTGGCAGCTGGAGACTGAGCTTCACCTCTATGGACTCAGCAGGTGAGCCCATGTCAGCTCTAAGGAGATGGATGAGAGCAGAGCCGGGTGCCTCGATGCTGAAGGCTTCCCGTGCCGGGTGACCTCACAGGCAGGCGGGCAAAGCCTGTGGGAGTGAGCATGGCAGGAGCCCAGGGGAGGAGACAAGTGAGGGGGAAGAAGCAGGAGATGGGCAGGCCTCGGGGCCTCAAGGTTAGCATGAGATCCAGGGGTGGGTGGCTCGGGCGGCGGAGGGCCAGCTCCACCCACCCCCGCATGCCCTGGACACACCAGGAAAGTGGCGTGAGGAGAGCCCAGGTAGGAGAAGGCAGCCAAGCCTGGGCAGCCCCACTGGGCAGGCGAGGCCAGGCCCCTTACCTGTGACAGGCCTGAGTGGCTGTGCCCTGCTGTGCTCTGGGGCTGTCCCTCCAACCAGGAAATCTTCAAAGGGTTGTCAACCAGGCCCACTTCGTTCTGGACAGCCAGCTCCTGCCAACCACAGCACCCAGACCCGGGCGTCAGTCCAGCCCATGAGACAGCACTGGAGCCACACTCGGAGCCACTGCAGCCCCCACTGAAGAGTAGGGTCAGGGTTTAGCCAGGGCGGAGCAGCGTCCCCTAGAGGCAGCAGGGACAACTCCGCTTTCTCCCACACATCCCATCACCCGCTGGGCCCCTAGCCCTGAGGTGACCCTAGGGTGCTGGAGAGCAAGGCTGCTGGAACTCAGCAGCCCCACGGAACTGGGTCCCTACTCTACAAGTGCAGTGTGAGGGTGGACGCCCAAAGTGTCCGCAGCACTCACCGCAGCCTTGACGGTGGCGAACTCCACCACGGCGGTGCCTGACTTCTTACTGGAAAGCACTAGGTTGAGCACCTCTCCGTACTGTGGGGACACGGTTCTGGTGAGCACAGCTCAGCCCTCAGTATGGCCTGCCCACACGAGCCCAGTCACTCTCAGACCCCCGGGACATTCTGAGTTGGGGGCAGAGTTCTTGCTGCCCGGTTCCCAGAGAAGGGCCATGAGGGACCAGACAGAGAGCAGAGAGAGAGAGAGAGAGAGCACTGGGTAGGGAGGGAGCTTGCCTCGCACGTGGCTGACCTGGGTTTGATCACTGGCACCCCATCTGGTCTCCCATCTGAGCTCTGCCAGGAGTAACCCCTGAGCACAGAGCCAGGAGTAAACCATGAGCACCACTGGGTATGGCCCAAAACAAACAAACAAAACACCAAAAACCCAGAAAAGGGCAATCAGAGATGGAAAGGGATGGTTTATGCTTTTGTTTTTTTATGCTTTTGTTTGGAGTCACATCCAGCAGTGCTTCAGGGACCTGTCCTGGGGGTGCACAGGGGGCCAAGCGGTGCTGGGGGTCAAACCCAGATTGTGCATAGACAAGGCAAGTGCTCTGGAGCCCTGTCTCTGAGCCAGGGCTGATTCAGGGCTGACTGCCTTTCCGGGAGTGCAGGATGCACACGGAGAAGTGGGTGAAGGGCCGGGATTGCCTTGAGGGGGACGTAGCTCTGGGGCCAGAAGCCCCGCCTCCTCCCACCCCACACACTCAGCCAGGCCCTTTGCCCCTGAGCACCGCTAGGGCAGACCCGGACCCCGGGAAAGCCGGCCACGTTGGGGGGCTCTGGCCAGCACCATAGAGTGCCAGGAGGACCAGGCCCAGGACAAGTGTCTAGGCTGTCTCCTGGTCCCTGAGGCCGCTGGTGCCCACCATGGGTGTCTGTGCTGGCAGGATGGGGGGAACCCACCTTCTGCAGGAGCCGCAGGAGCACGTCTCTGGAGTAGCCGCCCTGGGACTCGTCCTCCTTCCTGCATTTCCATTTCAGCTGAGGAGATAGCAGTGTCCTTATCACCTGCCCCGAGCGTGTGGATACCCTCCCGGTCTCTGAGGCCCCCAAAGTCTAGGTGGCTCCCTCCCAAGAGTGTGCTCCCCAAAAAACAGACTAGCAAGGTGCCAGCGCCCCCTCACCCCCGTCTGACCCTCTAAGAGGCTCTCCTTGAGGGGACTTCCGGGCAGCCCTGTCCCACAGCCACCTGGAGGGGGCAGAGCAGCCTTTGTTGGCCACTTCCTGGTGGGAGCAGGGTGTGCCATAGTACCCAGGAAGCCCCCAGTGCACCTGCTCTTGTCGGGGAGGCCGCAGCGCTGACAGGACCCACCTTTAGCTTGGGAGTCGCTTTGCCTTCATGATCTTCTGCCTTCCCTAGAAAGGTTGGGGCGATGAGCACGCCGACTCAAAGAGGGTCATGCTCTCCTAAAGGACACATAGCCCAGGGCCAGAAGGACCCGACCCAGGGGCTGTCTGTCCTGCTGAGGCACTGCATGCAGGGGGAGACGTGAGCCCATCCCATCTCCCTGGGTATGTGCGGCAGGCCTCGCTCAGCCCGTGGACAGCCAGACTCCCGGGGACAGGGCGGGAAGGCCAAGACAGATGCCCCAGGCCCTCATCCTTGGTGGTACTTCCAGAGCAGCCCAGACTGTGGGTCTAAGACAGGAGGATGCCCAGGCATTTGGGCGGCAGGGAAGCAAACAGGCCTTGGAGCCCTGGAAGGGAGAAGGCATGGGTGACAGATGGCCCAGTGGGACCCCCTAAGCAGGGGCCAGCGCCAGGCCTCTTACCTCGCAGCCTCAGCTCGCGTTCCTGGCGCAGCTGCTCCTGGATGAGTCTCTGCTGCTCCTGCAGCTGCCGGGACCCCTCCTCCCGCAGGCGCTCAATCTACAGGGGTGGGGGTGTAGGGGGTGGGGGTGGGGCGAGAATTCGGTGCAGATCCAGTTCCAGGTTGGCTCACTGTGAAAAGGTGCCTTGGGAGAGGGCTCAGCGACCTGCGGGCAGGACACATTGCCCAGCGCCCACGGAGGACAGTGGGAGGGCCTGTCCTGCCCCCATTCTCCACGGTCACCTGTCCACTCCCCGCTCATGCCAGTACCCTGGCAGTGGATCTGGACACCCACCTCATTTTTTTGGGGAGGGTATCAAATCTCCATGAATTATGGACTTACTTATGAAAGTCATTCAAGATTGAGTTTTAGGGGTACAATGTTCCCCATCTACTGCCTTTCACCGGTGTTCCTCCCCATCCTCCATGTGTGCTCTATTACTGGTGCCTTTTTCTTTCATTTTTCTGTTTCCCCTCCCTTCTGGGCACTGTTGTTTGGGACGCTCACCTCTTGTTCTAATGTCCTGGTGCTCCGACCTTCCTCCTCCTCCTCGCTACCATGGGCCTGAGCCAGCCGTTCCCGGGCCTCTAGGTCTACGGCACAAGGGTTGAATGACCCAATGGTGGGTTGAAGCCATTCCCATGGGGTTTCAGCCTGCCCCAGCTCAAGCCACTTCCCCCTACTCTCACACACGGTATAGCCGAACAATGCCCTATGCACTCCCTCCATGCCCATATGCCCTAGGTTCATGTCAACAAGACAAGTCATAGCAAAGAAGGAGTATTATCAGCTCCCTTGGAGTGGCCAGGGGTCTGGAGGAGTTAAGCAGCTCACGCTGACCACTCTGGATGAACAGGGTGTGGGTGGGAGCTGTCGGCGGCCCAGGCCCTTGTCAGGGAGGCCAGTGGGTGGAGCTGCTGGCCTCGGTTCCAGTGGCTTGGCACCACAGCTGGGCTGCTGACTCCACCTTAGTTTAGGTTCAGGGTTTTTTTTTTTCTTTTTGGGTCACACCCGGCATTGCACAGGGATTATTCCTGGCTCATGCACTCAGGAATTACTCCTGGCGGTGCTCGGGGGACCATATGGGATGCTGGGAATCAAACCCAGGCCGGCCGTGTGCAAGGCAAATGCCCTACCCGCTGTGCTATCGCTCCAGCCCCTGCTTTCCTTTTTTGGGACACACTTGGTGATGCTCAGGATTTACTCCTTACTCTGCACTCAGGAATCACTCCTGATGGTGCTTGGGGGACTGTATGGGCTGTGAGGGATTGAACCTAGGTTGGCTGCATGCAAGGCAAACACCCTACCTGCTATACTATCACTCCAGCCCCAGTTTAGATTATTTTCCCACCACTGAGCTCCAGTTCCAGCTGTCTCTGGCACCTTCCCCTCAGCTCACATTTACCAAGTCTCCCAGTGGATCCAGGTCTAGTGGCTCCACCAGGGATGGCAGATTCTGCAAGAGGGTATAACCTGCGGTGAATATACCTCGCTGGGTATACCCCAGTGAATGGTCTCTACTACCTCCCAGGGAGTCTTGCTCATTCCCTTCTCTTGGGGTTTCTGCTCTCTTACCAGAGTAATGGATGGATGCACATATTAAATATACCACTACTGAACAGGTAGAAAAAGGGACAAAAGGCAAGTAAAGACCCCCAGGACCAGGGCTGGAGCAATATTACAGTGGGTAGGACATTTGTCTTGCATGCAGAAGGCCAGGGTTTGATCCTCAGCACCCCAGATAGTCTCCCATGCAACACCAGAAATGATCCTTGAGCACAGAGCTAGGAGTAAGCCCTGAGCATCGCTGGGTGTGAACTGAAAACCAAACTAAAACAAAATAATAATAATAATAAAAAAGCCGGGACCAGGGCTGAGGAGTTGGTTCAAAGGGCTGAGCGCAGCTCCGCATGGTGGAGTCCCAGGGCCATCCTGGCACTCTGTGGTCCCCTGAGCACCACTGGGAGTTACCCCCAAACACAGAGTCAGAAGCAGTCCCTGAGTACAGGCTGTGGCCCCAAAATATAAACATAAAAACAGCACCTAGATCAATCTTACCTTGTGATAGAGATGTTGCAAAATTGATTTATTGGGGTGATAGCACAAGGGGCAGGGCATTTGTCCTGCACACAACTGATGACCCGGGTTCTATCCCCAGTATCCTATACGGTCCCCTGAGCCTTGCCAGGAGAGATCCCTGAGCACAGAGTCAGGAGTAAGCCCTGAGCACCGCAGGGTATACCCTCCAGACAAAAAAATAAAATTGATTTATAGGGAGGGATTGCGGGTAACACCCTGCTGAGGGGATGTTGTTGGGATACCACATAGATGAGATCCTGTCTTTAGTGGTATTGTAAATCATGGTGCCAAAGATAAAAATAAACAATTAAAATGGATTTTCTTGAGAGTTCAGCTGCTCCTTTGGTAAATTTATAATTACTGAATTATATGCTTGAAATGGATGGGTGGCATCACCAAAAAAGAGTGGGCCAGAGCAACAGTACAGTGTGTAGGGGGTTTGCCTTGCACATGGCTGACCCAGATTTGATCCCTGGCACTTCATATGGTCCTCAGAGTCTACCAGGAATGATCACTGAGCAGAGTCAGGAGTAAGCCCTGAGTAGCACTGGGGTGCCACCATAAAAAAAAAAAAGAAAAAGGAAGGAAGGAAGCAAGCAGAGAGGGAGGGAAGGAGAGAGGGAGACAAGGAAATAGAGAGAAAGGAAGGGAAGGAGGCAAGGAGGGAGGGAGAAAGGAAAGAAGGAAGGAGAAAAGAAGGGAGGGAGGGAGGGAGGGAGGGAGGGAGGGAGGGAGGGAGGAAGGAAGGAAGGAAGGAAGGAAGGAAGGAAGGAAGGAAGGAAGGAAGGAAGGGCTAAAGCTATAGAGAAAAGAGTGACTGGCCCTGATATTTCATGCATACTGCACGGGTCATAGCCGGCTCTAGCAAGCTCCTAACCTGCTGCTGTCTTGCTTCCTTGTCTATAAAAAATGGATCCAGTAATACCTACCTCCTTAGACAGCTGCAGCACGTAAAAAGGCTAATAAAACGTTTGTCACAACATTTAGGGAACAGCAAATTCAGTCACTGTTAATACTCCTTAGAGAGGCCTCAGGCCCCACCCCAGAGCTGCTGGAACTGCAACTCCAATGGGGAAAGCGCACGCGGGAACCACGGATGCCCAGAGGCTGCGGTCACCTACCAAGTTTCACTTTCTTCCTCTTCTCATCAAGTTTCTGGGTCCTCTCTGCTGCCTGCTTCTTGGCTTTCCTGACCTTGTCATAAGCAGCCTGGCAGGGAAGAAACAGTAAAGGGGGGGGGGGCAATCAGAGCGCGAGCGCAGCACCCGATCCGTCTCTCCACGGTGCTCGGTGACCAGCGGCGATGGTTCCCAGGCAGCAGGAGGCACTTACCCTGGCGGCAGTGTCTGTCAGCACCTCCAAGGCCTGAGAAAGCTGGTGGAAGAGCTCCGCTACATGGAAGGGTCACAGAGTGCGAGAGGTCAGGCTCACCCAGGCAGGAGCACGCTCCCTCTGAGAGACCCTTCTGGAAGCCGCACACAGGCAGGAACCAGCCTCAGCAGCCGGGGGACCAGCAGAGACAGTGAGCACATCAGCCAGGAGCAGATGCCCTCGCATGGTGAGGACCAGGGACCCAGCCCAAGGCCAGGCCGCACATCCCGGGAAGCCGGAGCAGGAAACCACACCCAGGTGGGCGCCCCCCGGCCCGAGGGTCTCACCTGCTCTGGGGTTGTCGGGGTTTTTGTCTGGGTGGCAGGAGAGGGCCTTCTGTCTGTACGCCTTCTTCACCTGGAAGAGTGAAAACACGAGTTGTGTTACTTGCATCCCTGGCTAGAGCTGTCGGTGGGTCCAGGGTGATTGCCCCCAAGGACAGCACCTCACTACCCCCGTGAAGATGGCCATGGAGGGAGCTGTGTGTGGCCTGGACAATGCCTGGCCTCACCACCGTGGCTGTCGCAGGGCTCCTAAAATGCGGGATTCCCTTCAGCCCCCTAGCAACAGGGCGTGGAAACCGAGGCAGCTCTTCTGCAGGAAAACTCAGCCATTGCATAGCATGAATGCATGCTATCCCTCTGACCTGCTCCTAGGAATTCAAACTAGGGTCAACCACCAAGTAAATACACAAGGATGTATTAGCCCCCCCCTTCTCCCGACCATCTGAGAAGCCAACCAAAATTTCCATCTGCAGGGAAAACATGAAAAGGGATCATCAGAGGTTTATCTGTACTGATTAGATTTTCAAGGCTTACAGAACTCTCTCTCTCTCTCTCTCTCTCTCTCTCTCTCTCACACACACACACACACACACACACACAGAAGTTTAAAATAAACTAAGTAGCAGGGCCAGAGGGACAGTTCAGTGGGTAAGGCACTTGCCTTGTATGTAACAGAACAGGGTTTGAACCCTCCTGACACCCCATATAATCCCTCAAGTTTGCCAGGAGTAAGCCCTGAGCACTGCTGGGTATGACCCAAAGGCAATGATGATGATGATTATGATGACGATAAATAAGATATGTAGGGGCTGACAGCTCCTGTCTGGAAGACTGGAGCACGCGCTATGATGCAGAGGTCCAGGTTAATCCTCAGATTCTCAAGCACCCACAAACACTGCTGGGAGCAAGCCAAAACCACACCCAGGTATGGTCCCCCAAAAGAGAAACAAAACTAAAAGCAAAACAGAGGTGCTCCAGACCTGCCTTGCAGACAGGAGGTTTTGCGTATCATCCTGAGCACCAGCCCACATGCTCAGTGAGAGTGAAATGGTGCTGCCATTTCTGCCATAGTGACTGACGTGATGTGTGGCACCACCACTAAAGTATGCACTCTCCAACCATGGGCACTGTGTCTCAGTCCCACAACCCTGTGTGTGCCCCCCATCAAAACAAAGGGAAAGGAGGAGGGGAGGTGGATTTAAAAAGAAAAGAAGAACTTTAGTAGCAGTTCCCTTTGTAAAGAGACAGAAAGTGGAGGGAAGAAAACATTCCCTCATTCTTTCTACAGCTCAAATGCTGTAGAAGTCACTTTTAATATCAATGGGCCACCTCGGAGGGGAAATTTAATAATTTTAAATAACACTTAACAATTTTAAATAACATTTAAAATTATTAAATTATTTATATTTTAAATAATATTTCTATTACTTAAAAGAAATAATAGCTTTTATTTCTGCATTTTCCTAGATTAAGGGGGGAAAATCAGATTTTTTTCCTTTTTATTTTTTTGGAGGGGGGATTGTTTCTGGGACACTGCCAGCAGTACTCAGGGGGCTACTCCAGCTCGGTGGGTGGGGGTCACTCCTGGCAATGTTCAGGGCATCATGGGGTGTGGGGCCTCCTCCATGCAGAGTATACACTTCATCTTCATCTTGAGCTATTGCTCTTGCACTTCTTTCTTGTATTTATAAAAATAAAGACAAAGCTACCAAGATGCTCTGTATCTCCCACAAAGCTGTTTAAAGGGAAGACAGAGCACAAACAGCCTGAACTTGCCTGCTGTCTGGGGATGGCCTAGCCCTGGCTTCTGGTTTAAAGCCCCTGGAGAAACCTCTAAATCCAGAACCTTTGGGAGTAGCTAAGCCAACTGGGTTTCCAGCCTCCCCAGAGGGAACCAATATTTCTAGGCAAAGTGTGCTAAATACAGTCCTATATACAGAGGAGGCCCGCGGAGACCAGGGGCTGGAATTGAATTCACTCCCACCTCCAAAGCCCAGGGGCGGGCACCCAGCCCAGGATCACTGGGATGTGCTGCCACCTACTGGCTAAGGTCAGTATCACATTCACACTTGTCCTGGCAACTTGATCCAGTTGATCTGATCCAGGGGTTTCCACACCCCACCACCACCACCACCACCAGGGCACCCATACACCCAACGAGCAAGAGCCTATTGGGGCTCTTATGTTTTGGACACTGGGGCTATTTTATCCTTTCTATTTTATCCTTTTTTTTGGGGAGTTACTCCTGGCGGTGCTCAGGGTACCATATGGGATGCTGGGAATTGAACCCGGGTCGGCCGCGTGCAAGGCAAACGCCCTACCCGCTGTGCTATCTCTCCAGCCCCGACACTGGGGCTCTTTTAAAGTGTTAAATCCATTCTTGGGCTAGAGTGATACAGCATAGCGGGAGGGGCATTTCCCTTGCACACAGCTGACCTGAGTTTGATCCCCAGCAACTCAGAGCCCCACCAGAAGTGATCCCCAGCAACTCAGAGCCCCACCAGAAGTGATCCTCAGCACTACCGGGTGTGGCCCCAAAACCAATAAATAAAGTGTCATAAGTTCTGTTTTTTTGTAAATCTAGGAGGGGCAGTAGAACAGGGAGGAGAAGAACTAATAAGCAGGATACGGCTGGGAGAGGCTTGATGGTGAAGCACTTCCTTGAAGAATGAGGTCCTGGGTTCAATCCCCAGCACCACACACAAACAAAACAAAAAAAGTCAGAGAGACAGTAGAGGGGCAGGACTCTTGCACATGGCCAACCCCAATTTGATCCCAAGCACCTCACATGGTCCCCCAGCAACATCAGGACTGATTCCTGAGCACAGAGCCAGGAGTAAACCCTGAGCAATGCCTGGTTCACTCCTGTCCCCCCCCTCCGGCCCCCCCCGCCCCCCACACACACTGTCTAGCACTGTAGCACTGTCCTCCCACACACAAAAGCAGGATAAAAGAACATGGTATGAGGACAAGATAGAAACTAGCTCTTCGTTTTCTTCTTTTGGAGTGGGGACGGTAGGGGTGGGGGTAGCCACATCCAGGCTGTACTCAGGGCTTACTACTGGTTCTATGCTCAGGTATCACTCCTGGCGGGATTAGAGAGATCTATAGAGCATAGGGGATCAAAATTGGGATCGGTTGCTTGCAAGGCAGGCATCCGACCTGCAGTACTCTCTCTCCAGCCCCTCTTTTTCTTTTTTTTTCCTTTCTTTTTTTCAGTCACACCTGGCAATGTACGGGTGTTACTCTGCACTCAGGAATTACTCCTGGCAGAGCTCGGGGACCATATGGGATGCTGCGAATCGAACTTGGGTAGGCCGTGTGCAAGGCAAACACCCTACACCACCTCCGCTTTGCTGATGACATTGTTTTAATAACACCAAACATCAGCCAAGCGGCACAAATGCTGGCCGACTTTGACCGTGAGTGTGGAAAGGTAGGACTACAGCTGAATCTTACGAAGACAATGTTTATGAGAAACAGCCTCGTTCCTGATGCCCCATTCGCTCTCAACGGAACGACCATCTCCGAATGCAACAGTTATGTGTACATAGGTCGAGAGGTCAACATGACAAATGACCTGGCACCCGAGCTGCGCAGGAGGAAGAGAGCGGCTTGGAACGCCTTCAAGAACGTCGAAGAAATAGCTAAGAGGACGAAGAACCTCCGGCTCCGGGCACATCTCTTTGATTCCACTGTTCTTCCTGCATTAACGTATCCCTCAGAGACCTGGGCCCTACGCAAACTGGATGAGAACGCTATTCAGGTCTCCCAAAGAAGAATAGAAAGAGCTATGCTTGGAATATCACGTTTCACTCAAATGAGAGAAAGAATCTGGAGTTCTGACATCCGTCGACGATCAAGGATCAGGGACGCTGTCTCATTTGCCAAGGTGTCAAAAATCAGATGGGCTGGTCACGTAATGAGATTTAAAGACGATTGCTGGACTAGAGCTGTTACTGACTGGATTCCACGGGATGTCAAAAGACCGCGTGGCCGCCCACCTACCAGATGGTCAGACTTCTTCGTGAAGATCATGAACGATCGGTTTGAGGTTCTTCATGTTCCCGGAGCGAACAGATGCCATTGGGCTACACTAGCACGCGACAGGGACAAATGGAGACGTTACTGGCGCCCGCTTGAGCAAATCGACGACTAACGGGAAGTTAAGTAATTAAGTGAATTCCCTTTCGATGTTTTATGCAAGAAACGGTTTTTCACTTACAATAGGGGCAACTATTCAAGCTGAGAAAGCTGTACAATGGAAAATTAATCTAAATATACTCATTTGTTCTGTGTTAGTTTTCTTTCAAAAATGGGTCTCCATGAGAACATAAAGTAACAAAATAGGAGACTAACACCCAAGAATAGCCGAGATAAATACCAGGAGGTTCACTCCATGGCTTGGAGGCCAGCCGCACACTCTAGGGGTAAAGGCAGCTCAGATAGAGAAGGGAACACCAAATAAAGGGTGTTGGGAAGATCTGCCCAGGATGGGAGATGCGTGCTGAAAGTAGACTATAGACCGAACACGACTGCCACTCAGTTCCTCTTTTGCAAACCACAGCACCCAAAAGGAGAGAGAGAACAAAAGAGAATGCCCTGCCACAGAGGCAGGGTGGGATGGGGGGATGGGGGTCGGAGGGATACTGGGATTAGCGGTGGTGGAGAATGGGCACTGGTGGAGGGATGGGTACTCGATCATTGTATAACTGAAACCCAAGCACAAAATTTTGTAAGTCTACAACTGTACCTCATGGTGTTTCACTAATAAAATTTAAAAAAAATAAAAAATTAAACAAAAAAGGGTCCCCATGACTAATGTGCATAACCATCCCATCAGATCTTACTTGAACTAGACCCAGGTCACTTCATTCCCCATCTGGTGGCGCCCTTCTTGCTTCCCAAGTTTCTAGAGTCCAGAGCTAAACAGAACCATACAATTCTGGGACCCATTCCTTCCAGGCCCCATCTTTGTGCCTCTACTTACAACCACTTTTTTTTTCTTTTTTGGGGGAGGCGGGGGATCACACCATTGATGCTCAGGAATTACTCCTAGTGGTGCTCCAGGGC